GGCTCGACCCGTATCTCCCTGGACTTTTAATGAACTCCAGTAAAAAAACACCAGGAAGCCGGCGTTAAAATAAGAATATAGAACAAAGTACTGATGAAGTATTGTGGCAAAGAAAGATTTGTTTTGCATTGCATTCTTTCTGCTGACGTGAGGTTTATGGAGTATAAATAAAGTGAGGCGGAGGCTCTGAGTGCGGCCGCCATGTTCTCTGTGTGTCTTTGTCTTTGTGTGTGTTCTTTCATTCTCCACCACCCCCGGTGCGGCCCCCAACAATTAGCTATATTAAAATGGAATATTTTTATTAAATAAAATTGTAAGTGCCATTAAAATATAAGCCACATATAGGCTAAAGAGACTATAATTATATATATGAGACAATATAGGGGTAGGATGCATAATTTATAATAATCTCCTGCAAATTCACAATGATAAAGAACTCAACACTAAACACAGACCAAGATTTAAAAAGGTAACTCACATACCGTAAAACCTCCAAGACCAGCAAACACAGGAAAACGTGTTCAACGGCACCACTCATCAGGGAAATGCAAGTAAAATAATAGCATAACGTTCCTACTCAGAAAATGGCCCAAACTTCAAGGTTTGTCAATAAAAAATAAGCATGGGAGAAGTGGGCTTATGACCCCCTGGTGGACATTGACATAAAGGGCCTTTACCTATATTTGTAAGAATTTGTTTCCTTGGAAAATCTGATATAAATTTGGCAAATATTAAAATTTGATAAAGCTAGATGGTAGGTACACAGGTATTTGCTATATTTATCTTATACTTGTCTTCACATGTGAAATAATTTACAATAAAATGTTTAAAACATTACAGAAAAAGAGCTAATGTCACGTGCAGTCATCCAGAGCATATTGTTAAAAGAATGAAGAAATTAAGTAGCATCCGTAGAATGACTGCATTTTTGAAATGATGACAATTAGTCATCTGCAAACCTAAATAGCAGAGGGTAAGCACCAAATGGGAGTTGCCTTTTAGTGCTGGGGTTTGGGAAACTTTTCAATTTTTCTTTTCCTTTTTGTAGTTTTTATTTCCTCCTTCTTTCTTATTTCTGAATTTTTAAAGTTCAATTTGTGTTGCACTTTTAAAATTCTTACTTTTTTTCCAGAGTACAATTGCATTCATTGACAGTCTGTACTGCACCAACCCTTTCTTCCATTCTCAGATTGTAGAGAAAAATGTGATGCTGGAAGTTTCATGTACAAACAAAACACAGGAAACAATTCTCATACAAAGGAAGCAGTTAAATCCTCACATTTATGTTTGAGGAGGATACCCCAAATAAAGGCAAAGCAGAGTAACTGTGTAGCTATAGACTTCAAAGAACAAAATGGGGTCAGTTAGGAAACCAATTTGAGATTAGAAAGATTTCACTGAGATTACTGTAGCAGGGTTTAATTAATTGAATTTGTGGATTTCTGAATTAAAATTGTAATCACATTTCAAGTCATATTAGAGCATTTAACTGGAAGCTTTTATTTCTTAACACAGTCATATTCTATAAGTGTTAAGGGTTAGCACCTATCAATGTTCTCCTTTGATGCCTGTGCTGAGATAACAGAGTAAGAAAATAAATTCTCCCTTGCACTCAAATATTGAATGTCAACTTGACTGGATTGAAGGATGCAAAGTCTTGTCCCTGGGTGTGTCTGTGAGGGTGCTGCCAAAGGAGATTAACACTAGAGTCAGTGGACTGGGAGAGGCAGACCCAGCCTCAACCTGGGTGGGTACCGTCTAATCAGCTGCTAATGTGATTAGAATAAAGTAGACAGGAGAAGCTGAAAAGAGCAGACTTACTGAGACTTCTGGCCTTCATCTTTTGCCCATGCTGGATGCTCCCTGCCCTCAAACATCAGACTCCAAGTTCTTCAGCTTTGGACTCTTGAACTCACACCAGTGGTTTGCCAGGGACTTTCAGGCCTTTGGCCACAGACTGAAGACTGCACTGTACTGTTGGGGTTTTGGGACTCGGACTGGATTCCCTGCTCCTAAGTTTGCAGATGGCCTATTGTTGGACTTCACCTTGTGATCATGTGAGTCAATTCTCCTAATGAACTCCCCTTCATATATACATCTATTCTACTGTTTCTGTCCCTTTAGAGAAACCTGACTAATACAAATTCCCCACCTCAATATGTTTCTGACACTGAAGTGATTGATCCTAGATTGAAGAGCTTTTCAGTAACATGAAACTTACATTACAATTTAATATTAAAAGAAACATATATTTAAAACCTCTCTCTCTGGCTAGGCATGGTGGCTCACACCTGTAATCCCAGCTCTTTGGGAGGCTGAGGTGGCGAGTTACCTGAGGTCCGGGGTTCGAGACCAGCCTGACCAACATGGTGAAGTGCTGTCTCTACTAAAAATGCAAAAAATTAGCTGGGTGTGGTGGTGGGTGCCTGTAATCCCAACTATTTGGAAGGCTGAGGCAGGAGAATCGCTTGAACCCAGGACACAGAGGGAAGCAAGTCTGAGCCCCAAAACCCCAACAGTAGGGAAGCCGACAGTGCAGCCTTCAGTCTGTGGCCGAAGGCCTGAGAGTCCCTGGCAAACCACTGGTGTAAGTTCAAGAGTCCAAAAGCTGAAAAATTTGGAGTCTGATGTTCGAGGGCGGGTAGCATCCAGCACGGAAGAAAGACATAGGCCGGAAGACTCAGCAAGTCTACTCTTTCAGCTTCTCCTGGAGAAAGCCAAGGTAGCACCACTGCACCCCACCCTGGGCAACAAGAGTGAAACTGTCTCCAAAAACAAACAAACAAACAAACAAACAAAAACCTCTCTCTGTGAGAATCACTTTAACAATTAAGGTATTCCATGACTTCATGTGCAGGTAGCATAATCATGTGATGATTTATTTATATTCTGGGAAAATATTTATTTTCAAATATTCATAGGCAAAGAAAGGAATAGGTTTGAGGAAAGCTGACCTCAAACCATTTGAAAACTTGTTTGAAATCGGAGGGATCAGGGCGACATCCTCACACTCATGAGCGGGGAATGACACAGAGTTTGAAACGTGGTGGGATACAGCCAAACCCAATATTTACAGGACTGATGTCGATATCCTTTGGGTCAACGAGAGGCTTCAAATTAAAATGCTGCAAAATGGCAGACAACAATAGAAACAACTCCATGCGAGCTAGGCCTTCTCCAACACACACTCGTTTTCCTAGAAGTAACAATGGTATTGATGAGACACTGAGGGAGTTTCAGAGACATGACGCTGTCAACAGTGAGACTAGGGGAAGCGGGGAGGAGGAGGCTGTGGGCAAATGGCCATCACAAGGCAGGACTCACCCCTCTCTGTCTATTAAAAGCAGCACAAAATGTACTTGAGTGGAAGAATACCAGCGACACTGACTAATTCAGGGACCAGCCTTCATCAACCTCAATTATCCAGAGCTCAATTGCAAAACCCATGTTAAGTTGGGAAGACCATGTCTGCCCAGTAAAGAAGCCACCCCCAGTGCTCACCAGTGATGCCTACAGGAGGGAAGTAGGGCACTGTTTGAAGCTGGGGCCCCAGCATTGGGTGTGAAAAGTATGGAGTTGGTTGTGTGATCTTCCCACAACAATCCCTAAGATGAGGCCCTGGGAAGGAGGACAAGTGCCTCAAAGAGAGTCACTGAGTCACATCCCAGGAAGGCTTTGATGCTTCCTGTGATGATTCTAGGTAACCAAAGCTTAGGTTTCGTTTAGTAGCTCTGGTTTACAATTAGGGAGGATTGGGTAATATGGCTTTGAGAGCTTTTCACTAAGTCTTGTTAAAATAGAAACAGAATTTAGCAATGAATGATGTAAAATATCTAGTCTTTGGGGAAAAAAAATCCACCTACAACACTTCATTCCCAGGATTGCTGCTGAAAGATGTTATGTAACTTCCCTGAACAGGGAAGAGTACATGTGGGTCATGTTGTCCATAGAAACAGGACACACAGTGAGGTTCGGGGTGTCAGTGGGTGCCTGGGACGAGGGCAGAGCACACGTGGAGTGGACATGAGGAGTGTGGGCTGCTCCTCTAGGGAAGGTGCTGCCTCTGATCGTTCTCACCTGCGGAAAATGGCTTGAAATAGTCACTGTACTTGAACTTCCCATTTTCATCCAGGAAGTGTTCTGGCTTAAACTTTTCTGGATCAGGAAATTCTTGGTTGTCATACAAAACAGAGTCCAGAGTTGGCACTATGACCGTGCCCTGGAAGAAACAAAGACTTGTCTCAGCGAGTCATGTTAACAAAATGTGGGCTTTCACCTGGAAACCCCCAGTGAAGAATGTTGTTTTGAATATTATGCTATAGAAGATAGTATATTTCCAACTGAGGGAGTTGCTTAGTGAAGGATTAGATAGAAAGCAGTCAGGGGTCAGGTCTAAATGAAGATGAAAGCCCTAATCTTCTCACAGGATTAACCCCAAGGCTGGTTGTGATTGTTCCTGGCATTAGAATTCACTACAGTCCCAGGCATTAACTGCTGAGGCATTTTCCAGATTTCCTCCACCTTTCTGGTCACCAGGCCAATCTGAGCACTCCTGGGGAAGCAGCACTCCACAGGGTGGGAGTGGGGGGCAGCCTCTCCACTCGGTGACCCCTGCCAAAGGGAAGGGTCTTGGGGCCCCCATCCTGCTCCCTGGCATGAAGGCGATTAGCTGATAGGATGGTGTTCATGCTGTGTGCTCCAGGCTCACGCTGGACCTTGGGGATGATGTATCCTCTGAAAATGGTGTCTCGGGTTGCTTCATGGGGCAGGTTGGAGGGCACGAGGGTGATGAACCGCTGAATCTCATGCACCACAGCATCCATGTAGGGCATCTCTTGCCTATCCTTGATGGCGGGGATTCGGCTTGGCCCAATCACCCTGTCAATTTCTTCATGGAGCTTCTCTGCGGCGTAGCGCACTTAGGAAGTGAGGACAATTTAAGGGATTGGTTCCTGGCCAGTTGGGACACCCACGCCATCATGCCACCGGATCTATTCAATTTCACCCTTTACTCCATTCGTACTATCTTCGCTTACCCCCCAATCTAAGATCCATCGCCCTCGCATCGCCTCCATCGCCACCTGCCACCATCCACCACACCCACCACCCACCCATATCCACCCCACCCCCACGCCACAGCCCATCACCCAAGTCCCATCAAGCCCACCCCCTTATCAATCGCCAACACCATCCATTCCACCCTCGCCAGTATCCGATGTACCGTCATTCAAGCCAACCATCTGCCCCCCATCCCCTATTTCTCCACGCCTCCCAACCGTCCCCTTGCCACAGAGGATCTGTATGGAGCATTTCTTTTTTTTTTTTTTTTTTTTTTTTTTGAGGACGGGTCATCGCCTGCCGCCCAGGCTTGGCAGTGCAGTTGGCCGGATCTCAGCCTGCACTTGCCCAGCTCCGCCCCGGGTTCATGCCGCTTTCTCCCGGGCCTCAGGCTGCCCGAGTAGCTGCGGACTAATGGCCGGGCCGCCACCTCGCCCGCGGCGTAGTTTTTTTTTTTTTTTTTGTATCTTTTTGAGTGAGAAACGGGGTTTCACGCTGTCGTCAGGATAGGTCCCTCGATCTCCTGACCTCGTGATCCGCCCGTCTCGGCCTCCCAAAGTGCTGGGATTACAGGCTTGAGCCACCGCGCCCGGCCACTTATGGAGCATTCTAAGCAGTACTTATGGTTCCCTAGGTCCTTTGAATTACTGGAAAATTCTCCAAAATGTTGGTGAGAGCTAAACTCTATGAGGTTATTTACAGGATGTTTGGCATCCATTATGTTAGTTGATGATGGCTTATTCAGTTCTTCTCTTCATGTCAAGAGTACAGAATAATGAACATGTTTTGGACATTTCTTCTAGGAGGGAAATCTTTGCATTGGTAACTACCTGCGGCTGGTTTATTGCATGCTTCTGAGTATGAAGGGGGTTTACAGAACAGAATCAGACATGCAGGGTCTACTTCTTGAAGTCTGAAAGTCTCTGTCTTTCTGACAGAGGTAACAGATGCCTTGGGCAAGTTGCCTAGACTTCCCGTGTTTGGACTTTCCTATGGAACGTCATCATACATTGAGTGAAAAAAAAACAAGCTGCGAAATTTTATGTACAGTACCCAGGTAAAATATTAAACACATACAGCAATAACATGAATGTTGTGCTGATAATTAATAACTGTTAAAGGTGCAAAGCCACACAGCAATTCTGGAACCATCTTGGGGGAAAGAGGTGGGGAGATGTGAGGAGGTGGACTTTGGCTGGCTCTGTAACACGTTTTCTTTTTTTTTTTCTTTTTTTTGAGATGGAGTCGTGCTCTGTCACCCTGGCTGAAGTGCAGTGGTGCGATCTCGGCTCACTGCAAGCTCTGCCTCCCAGGTTCACGCCATTCTCCTGCCTCAGCCTCCCAAGTAGCTGGGACTACAGGTGCCTGCCACCACACCCGGCTAATTTTTTGTATTTTCAGTAGAGACGGGGTTTTACCATGTTAGCCAGGATGGTCTCCATCTCCTGACCTCGTGATCCTCCTGCCTCAGCCTCCCAAAGTGCTGGGATTACAGGCGTGAGCCACTGTGCCTGGCCCTAACACATTTTCTTTTTAAGAGTTCTGACGTAAGTATCACAAAATGTTAATAAATGTTAAGTTTGGCAATAGATATAGGCATGTCAATCGTATTTATTTTCCTTTTGTCTATATTGGAACCTCCTCATAAGTAATAACTTAAAACATTTTTTGAGTCCATGGTTCCCCTAGTGCAGAGTAGTCAAAAGTTCTCTTATAATCGCTGCAGATCCATGCAATGATTCCTTCCCTAAACTTTTGGCTCCTTGACCCTTCACATTTCCATGTGATTGAAAAAGCAAAGGCCAGGGATGGGGCCATGGTGGCCACACCTGTAACCCCAGCACTTTGGGAGGCCAATGCAGGAGGGTCACTTGAGCCCAGGAGTTCAAGACCAGCCTGCGAAACGTAGTGACACCCTGTCTCTACAAACAAAAATTTTTATTTTGGAGACAGAGTCTTGCTCTGTCACCAGGCTGGAGTGCAGTGGCATGATCTCGACTCAGTGAAACCGGGGTTCAAGTGATTCTCCTGCCTTAGCCTCCCAATTAGCAGGGACTACAGGCGCATGTAACCACACCCGGCTACTTGTTTTGTATTTTAGTAGAAACGGGGTTTCACCATGTTGGCCAGGATGGTCTTGATCTCCTGACTTCATGATTGGCCCGCCTCAGCCTCCCAAAGTGTCAGGATTACAGGTGTGAGCCACCGTGCCCAGCTAAAATATTTTTTAAAAATTTTTTAATCAGCTGGGTGTGGTGGTGCACACCTGTGGCCCAGTTACTTGGGAGGCTGAGGTGGGAGGATCACTTGAGCCCAAGAGGTAGAAGCTACAGTGAGCCATGACTGCATCACTGCACAGCCTGGACAACAGAGTGAGAACCTGTCCCCTCAAAAAAGAAAGAAAAGAAAAAAAAGAGGAAGAAGAACAAAGAACAAGAAAAGCCTAGGGTCTGACCCTGGATCCGTCACATGTCGACTTTCTTGGGGGAAATAACTTCATAGCCTGTAATTCCTGCTTTCAGGAACTGACAAGACTTAAGACCACAAGTGACCATTAGCAGAAGCTTTCTGAGGAGGGTGGCACACACCACTCCGGATGTGAACTGCCTCGGGCCGAGGCTGCCCAGCCCTGTGTCCAGCCCAGTGAGAGGCAGGGGCTCGGGGCCCCCGGGCAGTCTCCAGCCAGGCTGCACCTCCCTTTCCTGCCCTTTACCTGGAGCCAGCCCTGACTGGCCTGTTTACACGCGGGTGCCCTCACATCACCTCTACTTGGCCCAGATGGGTGCTTCTCAGGACACGACCCTCTGCCCACCTAGGCCCACACCCCTCACACCTCCTCCAGGCACAGAGTCCCAACTGCCCCAGGTGCCGCTGGGAGGAGCCCTGTGGAAGGAATGACGAGGGTCCAGGGCAGCTATAGCTGCTTCTTCCTAGACTTCCCTCCTCACGTCTGCATTTGAGGAAGATGCCCCAGCAAGGACCCTCCCCTCCAGCTCCAACCGCCCCACCTGCTCTGCCTAGAAGACCAGGTCTTACTCGGGGGAACTGGGACATTATCTTCTCTGTCATAAATAGGTTATTTATGGAGCAGAATGCAGACCCTGCCACCTCTCTCCACTCTAGTGTTGGGAGGTTCTTTTCTGCAACCAGGGGCCTCTTCGTGGGGTATGGACCAACTAGTGTACAAGAGTACCAGGTGTCCAGCACAGACAGTAACATCTCCCCTCAAAGCAGTGCATCCAGCCATCTCACCACATCACTGTAAGGGTTAACAAGCAGCTTCAAACAGAAAGCTGCAGCCTAAAATGTGCAAGGCTGGCCATCCAGGGAGATGCATCCGCACGCATGGTGTCCCTCCAGTCACTTGCCTACCTTCGATCTCAGGGTATTTCATGAGAATCAGGAGCCCATATCTCAGAGTGGTGCTGGTGGTCTCTGTCCCCGCAAAGAACAGGTCGGCCACAGTCACGGTGATACCGTCCATTGTGTACAAGCGCTCTGCTCTGTGCTTTTCCTGTGATGCCAGAGACAGACAGGAGGAGAAAGGGCTGCTTGTCTCCTTTCAGCACAGAACCAGCCACCTCCCAGCTCAACAGGGACACAGGAGACAGTGTCCAAGAGGCTCTCCCAGTGGAACTGTGACTTGGAGCTGTGACAGACAGGGTCGTCTCCACCGCACAGCCATGGAAACTGAGGCTCCCTGGAAACCTGCTGAGGGCAGGACAGGGCTCTGTCTCCCTCAACAGCATGAGGGCCACCCTGGGAGAGGCGACATCCCCCTGACCTTGGTCATAGCTCAGGCAGGAGCTAAACGGCTCCTGCTGACCCCTCCTGCTACAGGGCTAATGTCTGCTACCATGAGGGGCCAAACTGGTAGAAGAGATGCTCAGATAGTCCCGGGAAATCAGGGTGGGCTCCACATGTTGTTCTTGAGCCACAAGCCACAGGAAAGGACAAGACAAGGACACAAGAAGCTTCTCCAAGCTGGGAAGGAGGCAGGGGATCAGGGTCCTGAGCGGCTGCAGGTGGATGAAGCTGGGGAGGGCTGGAAGTCTTGCACCTGTGCACAGTTGGGGAGTACATGCCCACAAGGAAGGCTGAGGACTTCTCCTCAGACAAAATGCAATTCTCAAAGTCTGTGGACTAGAAAGGGTTGAGCAGCAGGGCCTGGAGAGGGCTAAGGGGCCCACCCACACCACCCCAAAGCCCCAAGCCAGCTTGGCAGCCAGGCAGGCTGACTTGCATCCAGTGGTCATGCTGAAGCCAAGAGTGTGTGTGTGAAACTAAGAGCGTGCTGCGCTGGAAGGCCTGGATACCAGTGAGTGCAGGTCACACTGTAAATCTGAAATCGTGCGCTCCCTGCCCACCCCAGAGAGCCCACATCATGGGAGGGCCGAGCCTACCTTCTCCATTTCCACAAGCAGGCAGTCGGTGAGATCCCGGGGGCAGTTGGGGTCCAGAGATTGAAGGTGCTCCTTCACCCTTTCAGACACATACTCCTTTATTTCAGCCACATTTTTTATGAATTTTATATGGCTTCCAGGCAAGTAGTGTAGTAAGCTGGGGAAATTATTGTAAAGCTAGAGAGGGAAAATATGTTTTACTATTTCTTTCTGGATGCAACATAATTGTTTGTGTTGGACCAACAACTTTCTCCAAACCTGAATTTGTGACTGTAATCACAGTTTATTTGGAATATTTTGGGTCAACAGTGTCCTTCTTGGGCACCATTCTCCTCAGCAGTGCACACTGCACGGCAAATGTGCACACACAGGTCAATACGCATCCTGACATTAGGAAAGGGGGTGCGTAGGGCCCCAGAGATGATTCTGGGATTAATATTTGGGCTGTCTAATTAAACACCCCTTGAAGCTATGTTCTTTGGCTTTTGCAGGCCTGTCTATCACATATAACCTGAATTTTCCTTCTTTTTATAATGTAAACTATACAGTTGATGATTGATGAAAGAGGAAAGTGGCTTCACCTGGAGCCAGGGAGTGCTGAGCAGGTTTAAGTTCTCATTAAACAAATACAACAGTCTCAGAAACTTCTCACCATTGTAGTCAAAATGCTTGCGGAAGAGGATATCAGCTATGACGTTGCAGGGCGCGCAGCCGATGAGGAAGGTGGGATCGAAAGGCTGGCCTAGAAACAGGCAGTCGGGGCAATCAGAAGATGGGCACAAGGAGACTCCTCCACCGGCTCAGTCACCCGCTGAGGTTCACCAAGGCCTGTGAGAGGGTGCCCTGATAACTGGCGATTTACAAAAGATAGTGAATGTCTGAACCTGTTTGGGTTTCCTTTGCTTTTCAACAGTATTTAGGATACAAGTCACATGTTTAATGGCCACCCTTGCTCCCTGAACTGTGTAGCTGGAAACTAGAGTTCTAAAACACAGCATCTCTGGACTCACCTGACCCTCTCCTTGTCCGTCGGTCCCTGTGGTTCAGATGCAGTCTTGGAGTCCCAACCAGGGCTCCCTGCACCCCTGGTCTGCATGAGGACTGGGCCCTGCAGCAGATACGCACCTTGGGTCTTCCTGAGCGCTTCCAGCAGGAAGTGGGCCTCCCTCTGGATCCGGCTCTCGTAGCCCTGTTTCCCCATCCCATAGTTCCGGAGGGTGGTCAGGGAAAACCGCCGGATGTCCTTCCAGGTAGGTCCATTATTGAAAATAATTCCTAAGGCAGAGGGGACAGGAGAGGGTTATTCCAAGTACCCATTCTGGGGAGAAGCGGGCTAGAGAGGGCCTGGGAGAGCACAGCAGGGTTTGCAGGGGTGTAAACAAGTGACAGAGGGGACAGAGGGACAGAGAGACAGAGGGACGTCCCAGCCTGGGAGCTGCTAGCACCAGCCACTGGTCAGGTTTTGGGGAGGAGCCTTTCTGGGGCCCTCAGTCTGCACTGTGGTTTCTTCATCACATGTAGCCTCTCCTGGGTACTCTTCTTCATGCTGTCAATTTGCCTTCTTTCTTTTTCCTTTCTGTTGAGTCTTCCCCATGCTACATAAAACCGTATATGGCCTCTCCAAAACAACTCCCACCTCTTTCCTGTCTATCAACAACATCCTTGAAAAGCCATTCTGTTCTCACAGATTTTGAACCCTCATACCACACACACCTCAACTTGCAGCTTTCCAACTCCACAGCAAGTTTCTTCACTAAAATCTGACAGGTTACACAAGTCCCTAACTGTGCAAAGCATCAGAGCTGGGAGAACCAAGAACTGTCCCTTCTGCGCCCTTCTGAGCTGCCAAGACCTGGCCCTGCCCTGTCTCTCCTCCCAAGAGTTGCCTGCTGGATCCTCCTGGGAGTATGAACACATTTGGAATCAACGTATCTAAAGCTAAACTTTTTATTATTTGAAACTGTTCACTTATTCCCACCCTTATCTCAACTAAAAACCTTTTTATTTTCTTCCAGATAGGAACCTTGAAATTATCCCTGTTTCCCTGCACACTCCCAGCCACAGCTCATTTACACCTCAGGGGCCCCTTCCCCCTCTCTCCCTCGCTCTCT